CTCTCTCTCTCTCTCTCTCTCTCTCTCTCTCTCTCTCGTTTTCTTTCGGAGGACCCCTTGATCGTCCCCGAAAGTGAGACCGACGTTCAAAAGCATACGACCTCGGATGCTTGGCATCACAATGATTTCTTGTGTTGAAATTGTATCCTTAACGGACAAGACGACTCTCTCTACAATGTCTATAGTCCGATTAAGACGACAAAGGAGCTATGGAATTCCTTGGAGATGAAATACAAGACGTAAGATGCCGGGATTAAGAAATTTATTGTCGGCACATTCCTAAAGTACTTAATGGTGGACACCAAGTCGGTGGTTACCCAAGTCCAAGAGATTCAAATCATCTTTCACAATTTGTTGGCCAAAGGATTGATTGTGAATGAGGCCTTCCAAGTTGCGGCTATTGTTGAAAAGTTACCACCTATTTAGAAGGACTTCAAAAACTATCTCATGCATAAACGCAAAGAGATGACATTGGAGGACTTGATTGTTCGACTTCGGATTGAAGAAGATAACCGAAAGTCTGAAGTAAGGGCCAACCGGAGTGACTTTGAGGCTAAGGCAAACTTGGCCGAGTCAAATAAAAAGCGCAAGAGAACTTCAAATGGAAAGCAACCACAAATGAGCACCAAGAAGTTCAAAGGGAATTGCTACAATTGTGGTAAATTCGAGCATCTTGCAAAAGATTTCCGTCTCTCGAAGAGGGATAAAGATATCGCGCATATAGCCGAGAATAAATATGTTGACATTGACTTATCTGAGCTCGATCTTACCGCCATGGTCCAAGAAGTTAACTTAGTTAATAATCCATGGGAATGGTGGGTCGATACGGGAGCAACTCGACATATTTGCGCGGATAAAGATATGTTCTCATCTTATACCCCTACCGACGAAAGGAAACTGTTCATGGGCAACTCTTTGACATCAAACATTGTGGGAACGGGGAAGGTGGTGCTGAAAATAACATCGGGCAAAGACTTGACGCTAACGGAAGTGCTGCATGTCCCGGACATCTGTAAGAACCTTGTATCTAGTGCTCTTTGGAGAAAAACCGGTTTTTGATTAGTCTTTGAGGCCAATAAATTTGTAAAGACTAAGAATGGTGTCTACTTAGCGAAAGGGTACCTAGATGAGGACCTTTTTTAGATGAATGTAATGAATGTTATCCACCAAGAGGCGAAGAATAAAGAAAATATTTCTTATTTCTTGGAGTGTTCTAATTTATGGCATGATAGATTAGGGCATGTGAACTTTAATAAAATTAAAAGGTTGGTGAATTTGGAATTGATCGATTCACACAACAAGTGCAAAACATGTGTTGAAGCGAAAGTGGCTCAAGAACCGTTTAAACCGGTGATGAGAAGCTGTAGCGCCCCATTCGAATATTCGATTTTATGTGCTTATTGGGAATTTATGTGATTATCTTGGTATTATTATTAATTTAGATTAATTATTATTTTGCTCGTTTAAGCCATCATGTTATATTATCTTGAAGAGATATAATGTCCCGTGCGATTTAATGTAATTAAGTCATTCGAAAATTTGGTTTAAATCAGACCAAGGATCGATTTTTAACTTAAGATGTTGACCAAATTGAGCCAAAGTCAAACCGGACACTTAGAAATATTTTCTAAGTCATTTGGCCCTAAAAATGTACCAGACCCGCGTCAAGCCCGCGCACCCGCTCGCAGCCCGCGCACAGCCCGCGTTATGAAGATGTGGTCATTGACCCTTACGAGCCCGAGGGCGAGAACCATGATGGCCTTAAGATATGGCGCGAGATTAGGCGAGAAAGGGCTCGAGGACGTGCTAAAAGGGTGTGCACACGCACTAAGGCGCGCGCACCGGTGGGACGCGACAGTCGAGCCGCGAGGCGTGCGAGTCTAGGCCGGGTGAAGAAAAGGTACGCGACGGGAAGTGAGCGCGAAAGTGAGCAGTGGGCCGACGATGAGTGCGAGAAGAAAGTGCCCGGGAAGGTAGGCGAGTGGTGCAAGGCGTGCGCAAGGGAACGGCGCGCACGGCGCATGGAGGCTAAGGCAAATGGTGCACGAGGGGTGGATGTTGGGTGGACAGCGGGCACTTAGGGCGGCAGCGGTGAGGCGGAGGCAAGAGCGAAGGTGGGTGCAACGATAGGCACGGTGATCGGGCGGAAGCAGGGCGCGACGGTTGGGAACATGCGCGAGGCGATGGGCGAGCGCGGGCGAAGGGCCGAACGAGCGGGCGTGAGCGGCACGCGTGTGAATGGGCAGAGCACGACGCGCCAGGCGTCGGGCGAGCGAGGAGATGATGCTGAAGGGTCGAGCGTGTGCGACACCTGCGCAAGTAGTGGGGACGCGCGAGAGGGAGCACGCGGTCGAGCAGCGCGGGTGACTGGCGACGCGTGGGGAGAGCGCGCACGCATTACCGTACGCAATGAGGATTAGGCCTCGCAGACGGCGCGCGACACGGGCGGTTAGGGTTTGGGCACGACCGACTTGAGGGGTAAGAAAGAAGATTTGGGCGACATTTACTTAGCATCTTTAGGAGTCTTAGTATGGTTAGGATTTGAATAAAAAGGCATGTGCCTATTAGTATTTTATTAGTTTGGTAAGTCTTTATTCACAAGATGTTTTGTTGCCTTAGGATTTATTTACTTGCATAATTTAGGAGTCCTTCTTATACTAGGATTAGATCTATTTGATATCTATAAATACCTACCTATGTACCATTCGAAAGGAATGTTGATGAGTGAATAGAAAATCGAACGTTTTGTTCAAAGTTCTTGTGTGTTTTCTCTTGTGAGTTTACATAGAGTTCGTGACAGAAATAGGACCAACATCCGAGTTTCGTCACACCAACCGCGAAGTACGTAGGTGTCGACGCGCGTATTAGCAACCTATCACGAAGGAACCAAGGCGTCGGCGCGGGTTTCGAGCAAATCGAGTTGGACGGAACACACGATCCTTCATCATTGGTGCTTTCATTGAGAATGATTGATCGTGTGTTGAGTTAAACTTTTTCTCCCTCATTCTATTTTGGGTTAATTGCTATTTAAACCTTCGCCTTTTAGCTTTTGGCAATTTAATCCAAACCTTTTGGATAATTGCAATATAATCCTAACTTTGACTTAATTTTGCAAAACGAACTTAATTTTCGTCGGAGGTTTAAAAAATGTCAACGTGTCAGGCAGAATATATCCACGTTGGAAATCAGTTTGCTGAGTGGCGAATTTTGATGACTGAAAACTTATGTGGCTATGACATGGCTCATATGTGGAATTAACAAGTTAGGAATAAAAAATAAAAAAATCCACCTCAATTAAAATTCTGAAAATGCCCTAGATTAAACAAATCAACAAATTAGAACTTATAAAAATATTCCCCAGATTAAATCATACACTTATCATAATCATCAATTTAATAAACAAAATACAACAAAAAAAAAATAAAAAAAGGAAAAAAAGAACTCCACCTCCCAAAATCTTCACGACAGTCCAGTTGACCTTC